AAGGACGATATGAACAGAGCAGAAGTAATTCTGAATGGTGAGAACAGATTACCAACAATGAGATCATACAGTCCTTCTGGGCTCATTGCGCCTCCTTAGCATTCCTAAGCTGCATAAAAGATGAGGATAGATGACAGAAAGACACAGAAACAATTGCCAAAGTGGGAGCGATGGCAAGTACCGTGAGCGGCCATACCCCTTCTCCTGTTACACAGAGACACCACGGAGAGCAGCTGGAGTATCTACCTTGACACTCGATCATCAGAGATAACCCCGTCCATTTGGGACACACATACAATGCCCATGAGGTAGGAAACCAGAACTAACTACTACACCAGGATATACAATAGCCCCCAATGAGATCACAGCCCTAAACTGGAGAGTGGACTGTCTTTTTCACATTAGACACCACGTGGTACAACAGATAAGAGTGTGAGATGTGGTGTCAGGAAGACCTAGATTCAAATCCCACTGCTTAACGCTTTGTTCCTTCATATTCTATAAACTTGGGAGAACAATTGTTATAGGTGAGAGACAGTAGAGTGCAGCACATAAAGGGACAGCCTTGGAGTCAGGAAACCTTAATTTCACCTGACTCTGACACATACGTGAGCAAATCACTGAACCTTTCAGTATCCAAGAAAATGTCTAAGCCTATAACTTTCTGAGGAGTTATGGACCTGTGTTGGCGGAGGGAATTTCTAGGCAAGGAGTTCCCTACATGGATAAAATCAAATGTCTGGACTAAAAAAAAATTTTTTTTAAATAAAGATAGGGGTAGCAAGGCGGAGCAACAAACAGAGCAACAACCCTGGAGTCAGAACGATTTGAATTCAAATCCAGCCTCAGACACTTACTAGCTGTGTGACCCTGGGCAAGTCACTTAACCCTGATTGCCTCCAAAAATAAATAAATAAATATTAAAATAAAAATACAGTTAGAAAGATAGAAAGAACTATAGATAATATGATATATCAAGATTCAATGAGGCATAGTGGATACAGAGCTGACAACAGGGTCAGGAATTCAAGGATTCAGGTCCACCCTCTGAAACCTATCAGCTGTGTGGCCCTAGGCCAGTCAATTGACCTTGCAATATCCCTTGACAACTCTCTAAGACTGTAAGTTACTGCTGTTGATTGGCTCTGGGAGAGGTTATTTCCTCATGCAAAGCTCTCTATGTGATATCACAGGACTGGGCCAGAACCCACCAGGCAAGATTACTGTGAGGCTGAAATGACATCATGTACTTGAAAGCACTTTGCATACCATAAAGTGCTATGCCAGTATCAGTTACCATCAATGAGCCAGACTTGTCTATGTGCTTGCAACAAGGAAGGCAGAAGTATAATCTCGCTGGTGACACTCCTACCATCCAGGGCATAGAAAAATTGCCAACTAGAAATGAGATCTCAAGAATAGCTATAAAGTTACATCACACACCTTGGCACGCCATCTTTTTTGTCAAGATGGAGCATCTCCTCCACTGATAGAAAAGTCCTATTCACAATCACTCTAAAATCCTCAGAAAAGGCCTCAGTTACCAGTTTATCTTTGAGAGACCCTCAAGGAGAAAGACTGCCTGGAAAGGAGATCCCAATTTTTTTTTCATCCCAGTTAAAGATTCTATCCAATACATTAATAGCCACAATAACCTTGGTCCAGGGCATTTCCTGAAGAAGCTATAACCAGCTGGGGTTAATGAACTCTCCCTCTCATTAATTCCTAGGAGAGGCCATTGGCCTGAATTGTTACTTAATTACTCTTCTGTGTACAGCTTCATAAAGCAGTGAAATACCTTCTTTCAGGAAGGAGGGAAATGGTAATGGGGGTCATCAGAGGCCATTAATTTTACAAATAGTTTGTTAGAAACTACAGTATGTTAAGAAGTCACATTGGCCCACAAATCAATTCAGGATGGTCCTTATTAGTAGGGACCTACAACTCCTTAGGTTTCTGTGGGCATCTCTCTGTGGATTATCCACAGGGAAATGCCAGTTTTGCAGATTCCAGTCAACTAGTTTAGTTTAGATACATAAATAGAAAGATTAGTAGATGAGGGCTCAGCTTTCTCCTCTCTCTCTCCTCCAAAAAATAAATATAGGCATTTTCCTCAGACCAACAAAAATATTTACTTACTATGCAGCTAGCAAAAGGACTCAGAAAAAAAATGAAATATATCAAAGGATGAGAAGATCAGTTCCTATATGATTCTATGAGCCATATTAACATAGGATAATAGATTTAGATGTGGACAGCTTCAGAGACCATCTAGTCCAGCCCCCTCTTCACCACCACCACCACTACCATTTTACAGATGAAGTAACTAGGCCCCACAAACTTTAAGCGACTCACCCCAAGGTCACACAGATAGAAGGGGCAAAGACTTATCCAATCCCAGATCCTCTGATTTGAAATGCAAAACCATTTCCACCGTAACATGTTACCTCTGCAATGGTTTCACTGGAGTCTGGCACTTCATTGTACCATAGCCTACAATGCTAACACCTGAACAGAAATTGAAAGACAATGAAGGGTGTGATCCAAAGCCTCACCAAAATGGGGCCTCCCAGCATGTTTTCTGTCATATTTCTCCCCTAATAAGACGCCTTCCAAAAAAAAAAAAAGATGTAGCCATATCACTAGATATTTTTCAGAATATCTAGTAAGTGGTCTAATGGTGACTTTCAAACATCTTTTCTAACAGTACTCCCCTCAATACCCCCATCACACTGAATAAGCAAGAGTTGGTTGCATATATGTGCGTATGGTTACATGTGGTTACATGGCCCTAATGGTCTTCAGGGAAAAATTCTATTTTTAATCAAATAACTTGTCGGAAGCAACAGAGAATCATGAGTAAAAAGTCAGAGAGACCTTAGTAAATTCAGGTTATATATTAAGACCTCATGTCCAAATACAACAGCTGGTGTCCACCCACCCACACACACACACACACACACACACACACACACACAAATACACGCATAACCCAGATCCTAGCACAAAGGTGGTACTACATGTTGTTCATAAGAGCTCACCTATTAAGTCCTTACTATAGCCCATAACACTAAAATCCACCAAATAAGGCTTGAAATGAGAGAAAAAGTACGCAGCCCAAAATATAGCTTGGGGTGACTCCCTTACTCTGGAGTCCAATAAAGTTCGCAAACAGTCTGGGACCAGACTGATGCAGTTTTTTTCAGCTTGATTAACCTGTTTGAGCTCTCTTTTGGCTGGTAATACTTACAAGAACCTAGGGTCCCCTCCAAGGTTCAAGGAGGCATCAAAGGGCTTTTGGGAAGGCTGTAATCCTTAAGATGAACCAGGCTCCCAATAACAAAATGCATATCCATTATAGGACCAATCTCACTAAGCCCAAAGGGGGGAATCCTCATGAGGATGGCCACCAGCTGATATAATTTTTACTTATGGCCACTAATAAACCATGGAGGGATTATAACGCATGTTAGTGGAGGGAATACACACAAATACAAAATTACCTTTCAAAGGGGATCCAAGAACTGTATGGGAAAGCCCTTCGTAAATCATAAAGTATTTTAGAGGGCGTCCCAAAGCTTTAATAGCTTAAAACCAGAGTAATACTTTTGAAACACCCTGTACAAATGTAATGTACTATTACAATTATCACCACCACTATCCCCGGAGAGGCAGTGCCACATAGTGATAGAAAGCTAGCCTCAAAAGGAGGAAAACAGGTTTAAATCCTGGCACTCACAATTACTAATTATGCATCTGTTACTTGACAAGACACCCAGCCTCTGGACAAGTTGACTGCCCAACCTTCCAATGTTCCCAAGTAACTCTTTAAGAGTATAAGTCACAGGGTAGTTGCTGATCTGTGTTGGTAGAAGGATCTTCCTCAGCAAGATTTAGTTCCCTACGCAAATGGAAATCACCGATCTGAACTCATAGAGCAACTCGGAAAGATGAGCTGACCAGTGTTACAGAACCAATGTTACAGCCGGTGTACCCATTTGTGCCCAGTCAGGTAGCTTCCCCACAGTGATGGCGAGATGCTATTACCACCCCACCTCCTATGACATGGTGCCCCACCCTACTCTGGATGACAGAACAGGCCCAGCCTCCCCTGGCATAACTAAGCAGTCTATATCAAACAACAGGGAGGTGACCTCACTCTGAAGGTCCTGAAATTCAGTCGGAAGATTTAGTTGGGAGACAGAAGAGACTCTAGAAAAGCCAGTGTTCTGGGGCAGTGAGGGGACAAGCCCACATCTGGAGGGAGGTGGGATCTGAGGAAAGGAAGAGGGAGGAAAAAGCAAGAGGACCAGGGAAAGAGATATTGAGGCCTCACTTCCTCCTTTTCTCAACTTGACTTTGGACTAAGAAACGTTGTCTTGACTTCTCAGAACCCCGGTCAGAAATAGAGGGTGTTGTTACAAAGAGTACAAGGTTATGGATGCTGGGCTCTAAGAGGAGGACAAAATACCCAATGTGTTTACATGGTTCCTTAAGGGAAGTCATGCACATCCATCTATGCCCACACTCCAAGGGCCTTTTTAAAGAAAATAGACTGGGTCTACAGGAAACCAGGGCCTAAGAGTAATTCCTTCAGTTACCTCTGTTCCATCTACTATTTTTTTTATAAATTTTCACGATAATTTGTTAAGTTGTATAATCAAGGACTAGATCTTGGATAGTAATATTTTGTTTATTGAGAGGTCAATGTACCTGCTTGCTGGTGGGTGCTTAAGCCTCCCCAAAATATAACCTTTTTTTCTGGATAAACTGAGACGCAGAAGAGAACAACAATCTGAGTCCGAGTGAAGCTAGGAGTCAGGAGGCCTGGAGTTATCATGGCCTGGATTTGAGGGCCAGAGGGAAATGGAGACTGATGACTCTAGTTTTTCCCATATCTGTTGTATTCCTGGGCTAGTTATTTCAAGAACCAGGATGAGATCCACTTCTCCAACACACTAGCAAACCTCTATCTGCATCTGCGCTTTAGGAAACTGATGATGGAAGAAGAAGGGCTGGCCCTGTTGGAAAATGAGTGAGTAAGGAGGACTGCCTCTGGCGCGTCCTCTCGCCAACGCCGGGCTCTGTGCGCCTCTCTTCCCTGCTCTTGCCACTCGGGTGACCTAGCATCATAATGCTCCCTGGACCACTGCAGTGCCCCACCCAGGCCTTATCTATAGTCCATACCACAAAACTACCCATTCCCTTCTCCCCTCTCTCCTCTCTGGAAACTCTGATTCCTCCAGTAAGGTGCTGTCAGAGCACAGTTCCCAGAGAGTTTTGAGGGGAGAAAATTAAGTCACTAATTCACACTCGGGTACTAATAACTCCCCAGAATTTAATGGAATTTCTCTTCCTCAGGATTCATGCATTTTTAAAAGACTACTTGGAAAAGACACATCCTCTATCCCTAAGGAATGACTCTATAAAGAAAGAGTCAATGGCAGGCAGGTAGATGAATACCATCTGGGGACGGAGAGTCCCCCCCATAATACCATCTAGGTGGCCTATTATATACACAAAGCTAACCTTTGAGGTAAGTAACGCTCAGGGAGGGATTCTCCCCATAGCGGTGTTGTAGTACAAGTTCTGCAGGAGCTATCTGGGAAGGTGGAAAACACAAAACCTACGGCAGTGAAAAGCATTCTCCCTGTACTGAAAAAGCAATTTCAGAGAACAAATCTTGCCTTTAGTTTGAATCGTTTTATACCCTTATCAGACTAATAGGGTAGGGAGGGGGACTTTTTATAGGGAGGAGAGGGGAATTTTTCTGCCCTGGAATAATATGGAGAAGGCTCAGGAAATATCTCCCTGGTTACCTTGGTTAAAAGAGACTGGAGCAGATTAAATGGTGAAATTATGAACTCTCCATTTTCAAGATAATAAGAGGTAAGGGGTCCTGGTTTGTGTGTGATCTCCAAAGGAACCAGAGAGACATATGGATGTCATGACTCCTAGAAACCCTTTCTAATTCTATTTATTAAACATTGCTGTTCTCTGGTTATCTCTTTTTTATCGATTTTTCTGAATGGAATCTACAGGTCCTCCCAAAAGATGGAAATCCTACGTTTGGAACAATCTAAGAAGATCCTTCTGAGTTTGAACATGGACCTTGAAAAGGATCTGCAGAGAATAGATGAGGCAAACCAGTCTCTTCTATTAAAAATTCAGAAGGAAGAAGACAAGAACAACAGGTGAGGGTCTGGGGTTTAACTGGAATTAAGGGTACTGCTCCTGTTGACAGATGGGAAGGCGGAGAATGGAGATGAGGAGGGTCTCTTGAAGTCTCCCTGTCTGCTCTCCAAAAGGTCAAACACTCTAAAAGAAAGACCCTTGTCCTTCATTCTTCCTTCTTTTTCTTCTTGAGACCAGGTCTCACCATCTTTCCCAAGCTAGAAGTGCAGTGGCCACTCATAGGCCCAATCCCACTATTGATTGACATAAGAGCTTTGACTCAATCTGCTTCCAGTCCGAACAGGTTCACCTCTCCTTAGGCAACCTGATGGCCTCTTCCAAAGGCTCACCATATTGGCGTCAGACTTAGTGGGAACACCCAGTAGCTTTAGTTCTATGGCAGCCCAGAATTCTCATACTCAAAGAGGTCTGATAGTCTATGGATCAGCACATGGGACCCTCCTCAACATTCTTAGGCAAATTTGTCTGTGGCTGGATCCCTGAGAAACTGAATGTTTTAAATGTTTTGCGTTTTAAATGCCTGGACATTTGCTCATGTTAACAAAGAAAATCTTTGCAAGTTGAGTTTGGTGGCAGGTGGGAGCAATGGAGGAGTTAGGAGAAATTGGGGGGGGGGGGTTCTTAATTTTTTCCTGCCCCTTAGTGATCCAGAAAAAAATACACTGCCAATCTGAGGTTACTGTTTGGTTGTCATTATAAGTCTTCCCAGCCTAGGACATTGAAACAAGCTAAATATCATTCCTCTCTTGATCACCCTTGTGTTGTTCTACAGGTTGGAAAGTGAGCTTGCTCGCTTAGCACACTTAGCAGAAGAACAGGAGAGGAAAGAGTTAGAATGTACCTTATCTCAAAAGGAGCAGGATTTGAAAGAAATGGAACAGGAGACTTCAAAACTAGTAAGGAAATGGCTGGCAAAAAAGCTACGGGGGCCTTCCTTCCTCATTCTGTTACTCTGTCTCTCCCCAACCATTCCAGAAGGCTCTTTTCCCTTCTCACGGCTCCCATACCAGGAATAGTTAACAGAGGGGAAATCCCGGTTTTTGTAGACAGCAAGAGGAAATAGGTAGGGGGAAGGAGATGCATTTGCCTTGAAATTATTTAATGATAGAAACGCTGTAAGAGCTATAGTGTGTGGTGAGACTTCACCACAGTTAATCCACATAACAGATATGCAGAAAAAGTGTCCAGAGGCTAGATCAAGGTTTCTTAACCATTTTTTGTCTTATGAGCTCCTTTGGTGGTCTAGTAAAACCTATAGACTCCTCAAAATTATATTTTTAAATACATAGAATAAAATACATAGGAATTGAAATAAAGTTATCAAAATATTTTTAAATAAAGAAAGTTATCAAAATATGTTTTTAAAAAAAGTTCACAGACCCCAGGTAAGAATTGCTATCTAGATGAAAACAACCGGGATAGAGAAGGATCCTGAGTAGCAATACCATTTAAGGGTCAATTGAAGAAATCAATCAGCAAACATTTATCAAGCACCTACTAGGTGCCAGGCACTATGCTTGGCCCTGGAGATACAAATAGAAAGAAGGAAGTAACTGGGAAGTTTTAGCCTAGAACATGACTGTTGGTTTCAAGTATTTGAAGGGCAGTCCTTAGGAAGAGAAATTAGATTTGTTCTGATTGGCAGAACAATGAGTGAGGGATAGAAAGTGCAAAGAGAAAAAAGCTAGGGCTTGATATAAGGAAAAGCTTCCTAAATTAGCACACAGGCCAAAATCCAACTTGCTACCTGTCTTTGTATGACCTATAAGCTAAGAATGGTTGTTTTACATTTTACTGTGCAAAAACATGTGGCAGGCCAGATTTGGCCCATGGATCTTCATTTGCTGATCCCTGATCCAGATGATCATTTATTAAAAAGGGGGTTCCTTTTTTGGGTGATATTAGTCAGCCTCAGTCTCTCAGCCCCCTTCCAATGCTAAACTTCTATGATTCTGCAGAAAGGGTTTTAGTCACAGGCCAAATTCCAAGGGAGCGTCAATGTGGGGAGAGGTAGAGAAAACTCAGATGAGTACAGTCGTATGGACAGTTGGAGGCACTTAACTTCTTTCTCTCTTTTCACAGGAAAAGATCAACGAGGCTTTGACCCAGAGTATAGCAGCGCTTCAGAATCAGGTAGGGCATGACTCTAATAAGCCCAACAGGGTTACTAATGTCCCCATAGCAGCAACCTTCACTGAACAGAAAGGCACCACAAAATGGTGACCACAAAGGAACCACATTCCTGAAAGGGGGCTATAATCTCCATCCATTTGCTTAGATGGTTGAGTATGAGGCAGCATAGTATGGTAAGTATATAGAGTACTGGCCTTGGAGTCAGGAAGGCCTGTGTTCAGATCTTGCCTCTGATACTTAGCAGCTGTGTGACCCTGGGTATTTAAAGTCACTTTGTTTCTCAGAGCCTCAGTTCCCCCTCCGTAAAATGGGGATAATAGTACTATTTTGCAGAATTGCTGTGAGAATGACATGAGATTTTATCTATCTATCTATCTATCTATATATATATATAGACACATACATATATAGACACATACAGGAGAGTATCTCAATGGCCAGGAGGATCCAACAATGGGGATGATTGAGAAAAGAAGCAGGAGGAGCAACTTCATTGTATCCCTAGTTCCTCAAGTTAAGACTGAGACTGGCAGTGCTCAACCTCTGCCCCAAGGATCATGGTCCTTTCAGCTGTTCTGGTTGGGGGGGGGGCAGGTTGGAGGATGGGGAAGAGTAGCAGAATGAGTAATGAATCCCATTAGACGATACTTGCCCAGTCATTTCCTTCCACCTGGCCCTGGCCCAGTGAGTTGATTCCTTCAGTGTAAATAGGGGGTGTTACTCCACTGGGCATTCCTTGCAGCATATATCTCTACCCAAGGAGAGGGGCGTTATGCTGCCTAAGGATAAGAGCACTTACCCTTCCCAGCACTGGCAGGGACAGTGGACTTCCTGGGAACATTGCCATCTCCCCAATGTTAGGAATATCTTCTTTTCCCGAAGGCTTTTTTAGAGGTCCTGCCTGGCTTCTTAAAATTTTCTAAGCTTAAAAGCTGGAGATTGGGCAGGAAGACAAGGATTAAAATATGAAAATGGGGAGAGGAGCAGAAAAATTTCCATCTCAAGATAAACACTCCCTAAATTCAGGTTGGGGGTAGGGGAGAGGTTTTAGGCACATTCAGTTCAGAGCTGGTCTTTCCAATAGAGTTTGACCTTAGGGAGATGGTAAATGAGGAGTCAGCATGGCACAGTGAAGAGAGTAATAAATTTGGGTTCAGAGGATCTAGCTGAAAATCCTGGTTTTACCATGAAGGTATTACCTATGTGACTTAGACAAGTCATTTAATTTCCCCAGGCCTCTGAGGGGTAGAGGGGTGGAAGGCGATTTCAGGGATTTGGAAATTACTTTCCCAGGCCTAGAAGTTCTCCCTAGCCTCTCAATATTGTCCTTCCTGGGGCATACAAGAGGCCAAATTTCAAAAACCTAGCTGAAAGAGTGCCAGTCTCAGTGTCAGCAGAACAAGGTTCTAGCCTGCACGCTGACCCCGACTCTGGGTGTCTGTTCTCTTCTTTGTAAAATGAAGGGGGTTGGTCAAGGCAGTCACTCGGGTCCCTTCAGGCTCTGACAGTCTGTGAGTCAGTCCTATGAGGACCGGGATTCCATTTGACTCCACCCTAACTCAGCCTCAGTTTCCTTAAGAGATAAATTTGCCTTTCTCAGTGTCATCTTGGGTAAGTCACTTCCCACCTCTGGCGTCTTAGTTTCCTCATCTGTAAAATCAATTAAATGGACTAGAGCAGTAATGTCAAACTCAAATAGAAATGGGCCCCTTAAGGTCATATATTGACTTAGGAAACCATCAGTTATTATCTGTTTTATTGTATTTTTATTTATTTTGTTAAATACTTCCCAGTTATATTTTAATCTGATTCTGGCCATGCTGGGGAATATTAAGCTGCACAGCCCTATGGGCAGTGAATTTGACACCTCTGGACTAGAGAAGTCCCTAAGTTCTCCTAATTTTAATATGATACTTTGAGGGAGGACGGTGTTTGGGGATTGAATTTCAAGCCCACTTTCAGCCCCTTTCTCAAAAGCAATTATCTATTTGCTATAAGTTTTCCACCTCCACTCCAACCACCCTACCCCCCATCTATTAATAAGGCTTCTTAGATGTTAAGTATAAAAGAACAACTAATTATCTTTGAAAACTAGGTCTCAAGGTCAGTTTAAATAGGAAACTACCTATGTTCCTCTTCTCCTAGATGAGAAGAGGGAAAATATTCAGCATAGGTCTTATGGTGTTCTGGGCTCTCTATCTCCTCTATATGGAATGTCCATTCCTTTTTCCCATCTCCCCCCCCCCAAAAAAAAGCCAAAAAACCCGAGGGTCCCTTTTATGCCACATTTCCTGGCCAAAGTTTTTGGAAGTTCTAGTTATGGTTCTACCCTTGAGACAATTTCACAAAAGAACTTTAGTTCTTCTAATGATACTTGTTTCCCAAAGGGTTCCCCATTTCCCCATCTAGCACTTACTTCAACACGCTCCATTTATAGACCATGTGGGGATGACAATGGCACATCCATTGGGGTTAAAGAAATGACCAGAAAATCTTTCTTGGATCAAACCAGAGTGAAACTATCCAAGGTTTCCTTGCTCTCTGAGACAGTTGACCCCAACACTGGATGACTTAGAATGGATTTGAGGTTCAGGTTCAGACTTAGGCTGGATGTGAGGTTCAGGTTTAAGGATGTATCTGACTTGGCCAGCATGATCTGTGAGGCCCAGAAATAAGGAAAGGAGGAGCCTTTCTGGGCTTGCTAGAACAGAGCGGACAGAGCCATTTACCGCCATGATGCCTATTTAGGACTTCCAACATCCCTCTGCCCACTTCCCCTTCCCTGGCAACCATGGGAAATTCAAGAGTCCATTAGCCCTGCATAGGATGTTTGTGCATCTCATTCAGCTCAACATGCTTTTATGTGAAACTACAGCTTTCAGAGAAAACGCGTGCACCCAAAGCATTTGTGCCTGAGGAAGAAAACTTATTGGGATCTCCAGAAGTGGCAAAGGTGAGTTAAAATGTATTCCTGGGACTGTTTAGGTTTAGGGCCCTACTAATTCCCTAGGGGCCAGCTCTCAAGGTCAGCACAAATACACACAGCTCTGAGATCCTACCAAGTCCAAATGAGCCAAGAGCTTCCTGGTTTACCTGTGGCCTTAGCTTCAAAATTCCAGTCTGGAGCCAAATTCTGTATTCCAGCTTCCTTCAGAGTTGACCTCTGCCCTTTACTCATTCATTTAACCAATATTTGTGTGCGACCTGAAATTACCTTAAGTATCTGTTGAATAGCTTCCTATAATAATAAGAGCACATAGTTATATAGTTTCAAGGTTTGCATGATCTACATTAAAGCTTAAAAGGACTCAGATCTGCAGGTACCTTTCCTAACGTAGCAGTTTTGATCCTTAGACATGTCAAGGCTTACGAAGCTTGTTACTTACACTGTCTCATTTGATCCTCACAACAATCCCAAAAGTTGTTCCTTACAGAGGTATTGTATCATCCAGTGTTTAGCACTTAGTAGGCTCTTAATTCATTGACTCTTAGTTCATTGAATGATCATCCTCATGGTATAGAAGAGGAAACTGAGGTACAGAAGAGCCACAATAGGCTGAGAGTATTGAAGAAGGCAGAGGTCATTATGGCTGGAATGGTTGGGAGAGGCTTATCATAGATTTAGAGCCAGAAATTCAGATGTTGCAGGCAATCTAGTAGAACCACATACTTTTATAGATAAAGAAATGAGGACCAGAGTAAAGTAACTTGCTCAAGGTCACACAAGGACTAAGTGACAAAGCTAGTGACTGAGCACAGATCTCCCGACTCCAAATATAGCTCTCTATTCATGGCACACTGCCCTCTCGGAGAAGATGGGACCAGACTGGGGTCGTGAAGAATGGGCAGGTTTGGGATAGTTAAAGAGAGAACAAGAAGAAGGCATTCTAGATAGAGGAACCCAGTGTAAGAAAAGGCCCGAAGGTTGGAATGACATGACCGTGTTCATCAAAATCCGAATTTTAGAATTGCCAGAAAGTCCTTCACAACATCATAGATTAAGATCTAGATAGGGCTTCAAAAATCAGTTAACCCAATGCCATAAATTTGTAGATAAAGAAGCTAAAACTCAGTAGACTGAAGTGATTCATCTGGGGTTGCACTGTAGGTAGGTAAGAGAGCCAGGATTTGAATCCAGGTCCTCTGACCCCATGTCCACTGCTCTTTTCATTGAGCCATACTGCCTTCTGGGGGTAGGAGGTATGTGTGGGCAGGCTGGGAGGGACTGGAACTGAGCCCTGAAAGATGCAGATTATTTAGATGGGCGGGCAAAGGAACACAACCCAAAAAAAAGACCGAGAGATGAGAATGACAATGACATGTCCATTGGTTATAAGGAAATGAGCAGAGAGTCTTTTCAAGCATCATGGTTTGAGAACTACAAGGGTCTTCAGAGATTATTTAATCCAAACCCCTCATTTTAACGATGGAGCAACTTAGACCCAGAGAGATTAAATGACTCACCTAGGGTTACGTAGGTTAATTAGTAGAACTAGGATTTGAACTCAGGTCCTCTGATTCCTCACCCAGCACATTCACCACCATACCAAACCAGGAAGGGGCCAGCTGAGAAGTACAAATATGACAGGGATCTCACTTTGATGTAAATAATACAAGGCACTCTAGGCCTTTAGGAATGAAAATCTTGGTATGCAGACTCATGGAACTCTTAAGAGTCCTAATGAAATCTTAGAAGTCATCTAATTCCAGCCTCTACCCAGTGCAGAAATCCCTTCTCCAACATCTCTGACTCAGAGGAATCAACAAGGTCTGCTTGAGCGCTTCCAGTCACAAAAAATTCAGTTGTCCTCAGAAATGGACAAAAGGACATAGGGAAACATGTTCTCTTCCCTTCTATTGTCTCCTTACCTGACTATGAATCTTCCCATTTTTCATAAACAGGAAAAAAAAACTGTGCATAAACTATGCAAAGCCAGACATAGTTTCTAGGAGTTACTAAGGGAAATGAAAGGATCACAAGATCAGAGATATAGAGCTGGTCATCTACTCCAACTCCCATTTTAAATATATGGAAACTGAAGCACCCATAACTTAAGTGATTGGTTGAAGATTACATAGTAAATAGAAAAAAGGGGGAGAGGGGAAGAGGGAAATCTGACTAGAACGACCATTCTCTTTATTTACTCCAGTGTATGATGAAGAGATCAGCCTTCTCCTTGTGGAGTCCAATTTTTCTACCTGTACCCACAATCCCAACCCCCTCCATCTTCTTTAGTAGTTTGCCCTCCACTATCAACCCACTTCCCATTACAATCATCAATATCCCTAGTTCGTTCTCTGCTGCCTACACATGTCCACAAGTCTCCCTAGTACTTAAAATATTCTCACGAGAACCTTCCATCCCCACTGGCTATCATCCTATAGCTCCCCCTTTCTCAGCCACATTTCTTGGAAAAGCTTTTTACCCTTGTTAACTCCAATTTCTCACTCTCTTTTCTGGCTTTCTAACTCATCACTCAACTGAAATCAGTCTTTCAAAAGTTGTCAATCTAATGGCCTTTTCTGAGTCCTCATCCTTCTAGACTTCTCTGCAGTGTATTCTTGGATATTATTTCCTCTCTATTTCTTTTCATGACACTACTATCTCACCATTCTCTTCCTACCTGTCTGACTCCTCTTTCATTTGTTCATTCATTCTTTCCTGTCTTATCCCCAAAGTTAAAAGTACAGGAGCAAGGACAGGTTATGAAAGTTTTGAACCCCAAACAGAGGGTTTTATATTTGATTACTGAAATTGATAGGAAGTCACTGGAGTTTATTGAATGGTTGGCAATGGGAGGAAGGGTGGAATGTGATCAGATCTGCACTGTAGAAAAATCATTTTGACAGGTGAATGCAGCAAGGAAGTCAACTAGAAAGCTATTGCAATAGTCCAGAAATGAGGGGATGAAAGTCTGCACCAGAGTGCTGGCAGTATTAGAGGAGAGAAGAAAGCATATGTGAAAAATGTTACAAAGGCTAAATCAACAGGATTTGGTAATAGACTGGATATGAGGGTTGAGAAACAATGAAGTCTCCAGGATGACATCTAAATTTCTAATGTAGGTGTCTATGAGGATAGTAGCAACCTGGACAGTAATAACAAAATTAGGAAAAGAGGAAGGTTTCAGGGAAAAGACGATGAGTTCTATTTTGGGCACGTTGAGTTTAAATTGTTTTTGGGAACTCCAGTTTTAGGTTTCCAATAGGCAGTTGTAGACATGAGACCAAAGGTCAGGAGAAAGGTTAAGGCTGAAAAAGAGGATTTGAGAATCATCAGCATAGAAATGATCATTGAATCCATGGGAGCTGATGAGATCACAAAATGAAATTGTATAGAGGGACAGAAGAAAGCCCAGGTCAGAACGCTGAGGGGCACTTATGATTAGATTCCAAGTTCTGGAAGAAGGTCCAACAAAAGAGAAAGAGAAGGAATGGTCAGGCTAGAAGGAGAACCATCTCTCACTCTCAAACCCAATCTAGTTGAATATGGAGTGTGAAAAAGAGTCGAATATTTCATATCGGAGTGATTGGGAAAATAGATGGTGGTTACTACCAGCAGAAATAGTTAAAATAGGAAAGAAAATTAGCAGGCCAGTAAGTTGTTGGAGAGAAAGTTAGAAGCCAACATTTGGGGAAAGGGGAATAAGCTAAAGAGAAGTTGGAAGAGGTGAATAATAGGATCACTCAGCAATAGCAAAGTTTGAATAGCATGACTTTATATAGTAAAATTACCAAACAATAGTAAAATTGGAGAGCATGAATTTATTTATAGTAACTGAAGAAAGGTTGTGCTGCAGCCAGTTTGAACTGGTTCATGTGAGCTGATTGTTAAACTTCCAATGTGAGCATTTACATCTTGAAAATTGACAAACCTACAAATCAAGCCAATTTACTGTTTTGTTAATTGTCTTGACTTAAGAAAGTAATGGAGAAAATGTATAAAATGCATATTAAACTTTTTAAAGTATGTCCTGATTTTTTTTGGTAGGGAGGGCCACTTTTTAAATATTTACCAACATACTCCTGGCTAAAGTGACCCCTGCACCCCTCTTATTAAAAAAAAAATTAAAAATTAAAAAAAAAACATCTGGACAAGTGGACATAGATCACAATGTGTACTATTAAGAGCACTGAATTTGGAATCAGAGGACCCGACTTTGAATTCTGACTCTTTAATTTATTATCTGTGTGACCTTAGTCAAATTAGCCCCTTAACCTCTCTGGGCCTCAGTTTTCTAATCTATCAAATGAGAAGGTTGGATTAGAAGCCACAAAGATCCCTTCTTGCTCTAAGTACGTTATCCTGTCATCCAATACCCTCTGAATTTCTGATGGTTCAAGATAAATAACCTGGAAAGTGATTAGTATACAGTTTATTTTACCAAGTGAGAGAACCATTCATGTTTTTACCTTTCTCCTTGCTGAGTTCCATACCTCCCTTTCTTTTCACAGATGAAAATACAACAGGCTGAAGTCTCTTTGGCAGAGCAAGAAAAGGAACTGGCCAAGGTAAAATTACTACCTTTCCCAAAGCAGGATGGAAGGGAACAGAAGTGAGAAGGGAATAGTAATAAGCATTAGGAGCCTACTGTGTGTCAAGCACCATGCTTAGGTTATCTTATCTAGACCAGTAATAACCAGATAGACTCTCAGATTTAGGTCCTTTATGGAGATATACAGGAAAAGGAACCAAGAGAAAAATCCCAGTTACACCTCTAAATATCTTCTTACAAGATAAATTCTAGACTCTATTTTCTCTCCTTGCTCCCCTCACTCCTCCTACCACCTTATTAAATATAAATGGTTGCCATACCCAGAGCCCAACAGTCCATTAATGTTTTCTAGCTACTAATTACTCAAAATCGAGTTCTAAAAAGGACAGCAAATTTTGCCTTCTATAGGGAGGATTTTTCCTGAAGGGGAAGCCCAGACACACAATAAAAATGGCTGTTGGTGCAATAACAGAGCTAAGGCAATGGTTCAGGACATAGGTAGAAGCATTCTCATTCTTGTATCAACTCAAAGGAATAAATTTAAGGCAGAATTTTGGCCTTCCAGGTACTGGATGAATACGAATCTGTGCAACAGCTCTGTGAGGCCCAGGCCTTTTGCATAAAGGTACAGCTTTTCGGTACGAGGGCAAAATGTCATAGAATGTACCAGAGCCATGTTCCCCCATGGCCAGATCAATTTAAATTCATGCAGGTGGGCATCCACCAACCTCCATACCTTCCAGATTCCTAGCAGTATCTCCCCTGGGTCTTCTACTCTGCAATCCCTTAAAGGAACAATGACTCAGTCATTTTATTTTCATCTACCCACCTTCATGATGCCCAACCCAACCATCATCAAAGTCCTCCATATTGGTACAACTTTGGAGAGGAGGGAATGGTTAAAGGATGAGAACATTGAGAAGGCCATAGATTTATACTGCAATTTAACAATCCTCATGGTTTGGCTGAGAATCAATATATTATAGTGGATAGAAAACCAGTAAAGAGCCCACTTTGGAATCAGGAAGACCTGGGTTTAAGTCCTGCCTCTGACACAGACTGGTTGAATGACATGGGCAAATCACTCAACTACTCAGTGCCCTAAGCAGCTCTCTAAATTATAGATGCAGAACAGTTGATGGTCTTTATTCATAGAAGGAATTCATTTGCTCAAAATTCCCTATACCAATGAAATCCTAGGTCTAATTGACAACAATGATCATTAAAGCAATGACAACCATAATAATTTTATTAAAACATATGAACCTTCCAAAAAGTGATTGAAGTTTCCTTTATTTCCATTTGAAGAAATACCAAGAAGCCCTGAGGAAGATGGAAGAAGAAGTAGAGAATAGGTTCCTTGAAAGAGAAATGTGAGCTTTGGAAAACAACCATCTGGGTTTTAGCAACATTCCCAGCAACTTGCTGAGTTTGGGACAACCTGAGACAGAAAAAAATATTCCTCATGCCCTTTCCTGACCAAAGTCAAATCGGCAACATTTCTACCTATCCATACAGTCTGGGTGGATGTCTGGGCTCATCATCCCAACTGAAACAGACTGAATCCAGCATACCTAGTCACTTCTTCAAACCCTCCCAGGAAAGAACAGGAACATATTTCTCTTCATTCTTTGTCATGTGATCAGTGACTTAAGTTTGTGTTAGGAGCAAAGCTCACTATAACCCATTCTGGCTTTGTGGGAATGATGGGATCATAGATTTAAGAGCTATCATCCTACTGGTGAAAATTTCCAGTATCATTTCCTTTTTAGAAATTATGATGGTACTTTAAACAAGAAGGTGACATAAACTTTACTTTGCCTAGTCCTCTCATTTTACAGATAAGGAACTGAGGCCTACAGAAGTTAGATGGCTTACCCATAAGCACAAACAGAAGTTTTAAGTATCAGAGCCAAGATTCTAACCAAGATCTTTTGACACCAAATTCAGTGCTCCTGAAGCAAAAGGTAACATTGGCAGGGAGCACTCTATACTTCACACACACACACACACACACACACACACAAAACCCTCAGTGAAGTCCTCTTTTTTACTGTGCTATGTTATGGAAATGCTTGTTTTACACCATAAATTTAAAAACAAAATTTAAAAACAAACAAACAAAAAGCCCTCAGGCTACAAAAGTGCCCCATCCCCCCAATAATTCTATAAAAACAATCCCTGGACAGGGTCTGAGCTTTCCATTTCTGTAGAGCTCAGGATTATTCACAACATATGGGTCTCTGCATTCTTTAATTAAAAAAAAAATTAAGATCCAAAGGTAAGAAAAATGTTCCTTGGGTTCATGAGAAGAGTCCAAATAATGAGAAAATGACACACAGCTAATAGAGATCAATACAGTAGTAATTCTTTCAGTGCTCCCATTTCTCTGACTCTGCTTGGAATATAGAATGGGAACCATGGCAGATGCCACTCAATACTACCTTGGTCAAGGTTCCTTTTAGATTTTATAAGGCCTACAGCTGAAAAAGGGACCTTGGAAATATCCAATTCAACACTTCAATTTATCCACAAGGATATAGGTTCATAGAGACAAAGTGATTTGTCCAAGATTATAAGTGTAGCAAGTAGCAAATCTGCAATTCAAAGTCAGGTCTCATTTTAATAGGGATGACATGGTGTAGTATATAGGAGACTGGACTTAGAACGACAAGGACATGGATTCAAATCCTGCCTCACACACTTACCAGTTGTGCAGTCCTAGGCAAGTCACTTAATCTCTCTTTGTCTCAGTTTTCTTTATCTGCAAAATTGGTCAGGGGATTGGACTTAATGGGCTTTGAAGGTCTCTTCCAGCTCAAAATCTATGATCCTATGACTCCCAACTCAGTGCTCTTTCCATTATCCTGAGCTTCTTTTCAGGTTGCTATCTCACAAATCTGAATTATTGGACATCAAAGTAGGTCACTCACATAAAAGTAGCAATTGTGACATAATGGGGAAATGGGAGTCTAAAGTCATGGTTTCCAACACTTTTGCTAGGTACCCTTTTGAAAGATAGCCATTTTTCCTCAACTACTATAATGTAAATATCTTAGTGTACTTTTTTTCAGTCCCTTTCTTGTGGGTTTTTCCACCAGATCAAAAGTCCTAAGTATATCCTCTCAAACAGCAAGTCGAGGGTTAATGCTGGTGGATGACATCCAAAATGATGCGGTAAGCATTTCCCTCCCTCGTCAGCAAGTATTTTTGGAGAGGGGGTAGGAGGTTGGTTCCCCAAAAATTGTGTTGTCTTACCAAATTTTTATCCAGGAGAACAATGCTGGTATATCAGGTAGAAAGCTGGCATCAGAACCAAGAAGACCTAGGTTTGAGTTCTGCCTCTGACACAGTGGCTATGACTGTGAAGAAGTCACTTGTATGTGTGTGTGTGTGTGTGTGTGTGTGTGTGTGTGCACATATATACTTATATATGTATATGTACTTGTTAAGTATATATACATATACCTATATACATCTAGAGTTAGATACATAGATATTTTGTTGTTTTTTTAATAGTTTTTAGCCATGCCTAACTCTTTGTGACCCCTTTCGGGGTTTTCTTGGCAAAGAAACTAGGATGGTTTGGCATTTTCTTCTCTAGCTCATTTTACAGATGAGGAAATTGAGGCAAACAGGGTTAAGTGACTTACCCAGGGCCCAACAGTAAGTGTCTGAGGCTAGATTTGAACTCAAGAACATTAGTCTTTCTGACTCCAGGCCCAGTAATCTAGCCACAATACCACTTACCTATTTATCTATCCATACATGCATGCATACATACATACATGCATGTGTGTATATGTACACACAATGCATATGCATGTGTGCATGCATATATAAATAAATATATAATTATATAACATCAATGTGTAAAATGTTTATATATATATACATACAAATACACATATTTATATGTACTTCTTATATCCCCATTACAATGTAAGTTCAGTGAAAATGGGAATTGTTTCACTTTTTTTGTACTTGTATTCCCAATGCCTGTAATTCTCAATGCTTAATAAAAACATGATTGATTGATTAATTGGTTGGCAACTCTTTTGAAACTATTAAGTTGCAGAGAAGGAGCCTACCTACATTGGTAAAAGAAGCTCCCTTATCAGGAGTTCCCCCTACCAATGATACTTGTGTCTACACTCTCAATGTTAAAGAGTGAGTCAAAATGTGCAATACCAAATACAACCATTCCAGAATCCCCCAAACCTGACCAAAGAGATCACCAAAGAAAGTTCAAGCTGTTTCTTTGTGTTGATTCCATGCCACTCACAATCTAAAATAAATTTGGCCAAGATGTAAGAGAAGGAGGGCTCTGGGCAAGTAAAAATGTTGATTTAAAATATAGCGCACAGTATAGCTCCCTGATAGTATATATCCACTGAAGTAGTGACTTGTTAGAACTAGGGGAAATGAACCTGCTTCAGAGGAAGAATGAATCTCTCATAGCCCCAGCTTTGACTTCTGGAAGAGCTATAATATTGGTTTTCTGTGTTGAGGGCCAGTTACCATTATTCCTGAGCACATAAGGTAACAGTAGAGAGACAGGGTTATTGGTTTGTTTTCTAGAATGAGGAAAATGGGGGGGGGGGGGGGGGGGGGGGGGGAAAAATTTTTTTGGGGGGGGGGAAAGGGGGGGGGGGGGGGGTGATGGGGAAGAAATATGTTTATGAGACTCTGAAAAGCTTTAGGGTCAAGTCTGAGATGTACCTAATCACTGACTTGGCCCGAGGTTAATGGCCTGAGGTTCTCTTCTGGAACTCATCTCTTCTCTTTAAGGTTGGCCATAGCTCTATTGGAAGGGATTATAGGAGGACACAACCCAAGACAGGATGTCTGTCAGGGTATTTGGGTATCTGTTATATTTCCTAATGGGCTGAAGAACTGGACTGTAATCAGAGACACGTTCTCATTCTGGTTTTATCATTTCAGTAAACAGTTAAGTATGCTGAGGGCAGAGACCGGTTTTCAATTTTACCTTTGCATTTGCCCAATGGCAAGTCTTACACAGTGAGCACTTCATTAAATACTTTCTCTGAATTGAACAAATGGGCTTGCCCTCATTAGCTTCAATTTCCTCCTCTCTAAAATTAGCATCATAATCCCTCCTTTTCTACCTCACAAGCCAGTTATGGGGAAAACGCAATCTCAGTGCAAAAAATTTAGAAGGAAGGTGCTGTAGAAATCCAAGCTACTGCCATCATTATATTTTCCTAGATTTCTGTCTTCTCTCTGGGAATAAGGACTTACCATTTAGTTTCCTTTTGAGCTAAGTAATAAGTTGGCATAAGTAATAAATGTAGTTAGACTCAATTTGGTGGGAGTGGGGCATAATTGATAGAGAGCTGACCTTGGAAACAGAAAGGATTCAAGTGCTACATCTGACATATTCTAACTGAGTGACCCTGGCACAAGACATCTAAGCTCTTATTACTCAACACACTTTAAGACTAAATTTCAAATGGTCTGCATTGGAGAGGGAGTTTCCATGTCGGAAGTTTCCTATATCAATGAAATCATGGGTCTAGAACCTGACCCCCTTATCCAAAAAAAAAAAAAAAGACAGTTTCCTAGGGTTAGGGGGAGGAGTGAAAATCATAGGCTCTTTTTTACCTTCTCACTGGTACCCTTGCCTCTTCACCACAGGAGAAAATCATTGTTGGAAGAAAGAGGAGCCTCTTCTGGTACAAGTAGGTGGAAAATCTTTGTATTAACTTACTGGAGTCTCAGCCTACCATAAAGGGCCCTTCTAACAAACAAGGAAGTCTAGTGGGGGTGATGGAGAAGAGACAGCCTTGTAAAAAAAAAAAAGTAGCATGTACAATTAAGTTAGAAAATGTAATAGTCACGTAATCAATGACTAGATCTTACGTTGTGCCGTAATGTTTTGTTTATTCAGAGGTCACTGCTAATCTCAACTTTTTCAGATTAGCAGAAAACCTGGAAATAAGCCAGAAAAAGTCCTCCTCTAAGCAGTCAAATTGATTTTACAAAATCCATTCACTAATACTCACACAGAACAGATTCCCAGAGGCCCTTACTCAGAGACCATTTGTTCATTCGTTATGCCAAATTCTAACATACCTAGTTACCTGATTTCCCAATAGATTAAAAGGCTTTAAGTCAAAAGACAGGGGGCAGGGGGGGATGCTACCAAACACGGGCACATTGATATCAATAAGAAACAACAACAATAATAGTTTCCATTTATACAGCACTTTGTTCAATAAAATTCAACTAACATTTTTATATATTATTCGTGGATACTAAATACTTCATATTCATTATTTCATGTGATAGTTAACCATGAAGGAAAAGGCAGAAAATAGAATTAAAAGTAGGGCATGAGAATTCAAAGAGCAGCTAGGTAGAACAATGGGTAGAGTGATGGGCTTGGACCTAGAAAGACTCGTCTTCCTGAGTTCAAATTAAAACTCTTACTAAGCTGTGCAACCCTGGGCAAGTCACTTAACCCTATTTGCCTCAGTCTCCTCATATGTAAAATGAGCCAGAGAAGGAAATGGCAAACCATTCCAGCATCTTTGCCAAGAAAACTCCAAATGGGGTCACAAAGAGTCAGACACAACTGAAATGATTCAACAATAACACAAGAACTCACAAAGGACGATTGTCTGGGGCCAATTAGTTTAGGGGTAAATTGTACTCCATATCCCTGGAACTTTTGAGGGGCAGCACCATATTACTGAGTAGCATGATCCTCGATATTCTTGCAGACTTTAAAGAACATCCCCATCATTTTACAGATGAGGAAACTGAGGCCCTGAGAGGTTAAGTGATTTGTCCAAGATAACACACTGAGTCAATAACAGAGCCCACCTCAAATGCAGATTTCCTTTGACTCTAAATCTGGTGTACTTACCACTATACTATGGGAATGAACCTAAGTCATCAAAAGGAAGTCTAATGTCTAGAGTTTTCTATTTAAGACAGTAGGGTAAAATAGTTGTTGCTGATAATTATGATGATGCGATATGATAAAGAGAAATCCCCATCAATGTTTTAATTGAATACCTAAAGGGATGTTTCATTTATCTGCAAAATTAATTTGCAAATAACATTTAGTCCTCCAGAGATGATAGGGAAGTAATATTCATATCCCTGAAGATGACTCCCCAAAGTACCATTAAAGATTTACTCATAATCCCTGGACAAGGTCCTCAGCCTCTAGAGCTACCTGGTGTTGAAGACGCCTGAAGACAATCAATCACTACCTAACTGAACTGTGACAAACGTCCAGAGCAGATGCCCAACAGTAACTCATAGGGTGATTTCAGTACATGAGGCTACAAAAAAAGGCTTTTCTTTACCCAACTTCTTTTGGTAAGTGCAGGTTGTTGGAGGGGTGGGGACCCCCAAGTCCAGAGAGCTGGGTCCTGCTCTTCTGCACTGCTACACAGTGATTACACTCTGGCAGATTCTCTTATTTCTCGTTGGTTCTTTGGTTCTGATGCTCACAGGGGTATACTAGAATCAGCTCTGTATTTCATGAGAACCTATTATTAAATTTTCAGTGTGAGCATTTACACTTTAGACGTTAGCAAGGCAAACACTACAAATTAGGTCTTGATTTATTGTTTTGTCAATTGTCCAGACTTAAGAAAATGATCGAGAAAATGTTAATTGTGAAGATTAAACTTTAAAAGTGTGTCATGGTAAAAAAAAAAAAATTCTGGAAACCAGTTGTTAAATATCTACCAGCATATCCTTGGATAGCCAGCTCCTGGTACAAGTAATAGAATTAAAATTTTTAAATGCCTTGACTACAGACACTTGACACTTAATAGCTGTGTGACCCTGGGCAAGTCACTTAACCCTGATTGCCTCACCCAAAAAAAAAAATGCCCTGACTTAGTAGTCCAAGACAAAAACAGGCTCTACTCCTTTGCTTCCAATTTACCTCTGTGTGTTTGAGGAACCGTAACCTGGCACTCTCTTTGCAGGACTCTTGGATATCTCTTCTTTACAATGCTATTGCTCACCAGGCTACAAGGCTACCTGCTTTTCCATATTAATCATGTAAATCCAGATCTCATATTGGACACCCTGCCTAAGATGCTGAGCCGGGGTACCTTGTATAGGCTGAGGTGCTTCCTACTGCCATTTTTTACACTGGAGGTAGAAGACGTCTTGCCTCACTAATCCCTGTGTGTGGTATACTAGAGTGACTGGAGACAAAGCGTGACTGACGGCTGCGAGTGAGAAATGGCCAGATGGAGGGGAGAAGACTTTGGATGACAGCTGCTTTCCCGAGGTCTGCTGTCCTGGGGACCTTCCCATCTAAAGTTTTCCTTCCACGAGTTCTCTCCCCCGAATAAAGAATTTTGTCATTAAATTCTGGAGACTGTGGATATGCAGTGTGAGGGGCCAAAGTTTTGTGAAAGGGAGTGGGATGCGGGGGGAGGGAATCAGGCAGCAGGAAATGACTACCTCCAAAATAGCATGTTAATAATAACCTGACACTCTCTCTGCAGGGCTCTTCTATGTCCATTCCTTACTTATTGTGCATTGGGCTTTTCTATATTCATTTTGCTGAGTAGAAGTAGAAGTGGTCATTGCCCTACTTGGGTTGGGGGTAGGAGGGGCAAAGGCAGCTAGAACGTTATAACGCAGTAGCTTGCTTGTGGCTAGATACAATCTTCTACATAAACACACAACTGAAGACCAGCTAAGCAACTTTTGCTATCAAGTCACCTTGTATTTTGTATATAACCTTCTTCTTGGGGGTATGCCTCTCATGGCCTTGCAAAGTCATGGTTTGAACCTAGGTCCTTAACTGTACTGCAAGTGTTGTACCATTCAGGGATTCCTAGGTCAGGCTGGCAGCTCACTACACTTCAATCAATCAGTCAGTAAGCCTTTGTTAAGCGCTAATATCTACCAGGCACTGTGTTAGGCTCTGGGGATAAAGAGACAAAAAATGAGAACAATTCCATTCTAAAAAGGCACAGTACATTCAAATGTACTGAGGTGTCCAAAAGATCTTACTGCAGGTTTCAAGCTTTAATAAGACTTTAGAAACATCTTGTTTGGATTTATTCAAAACACATGCAAAGCAGATCCAAGATGACCTTAGGAGATGGAAGGCTACTAGCATCTGGGGAGACCAAAAGAAATCTCATGCAGAAGGTGGACCTCATCTAAATCTTGAAGGTAATTAGGAAATCTGAAAGGTAGAGGTGAGGAGGAAAAGCATTCCAGGAAGGCGGGCGGGAGACAGCCGAGGTAAAGGCATAAAGAGGAGAGATACTGTGTCATGTATGAGAAAAAGCAAAAAGGCCAACATGGCAAGGCCATAAAAGGTGTGGAAGTAATGTGCAATAAAACTAGAAAGGTAGGATAAGATCTGGAATTTATATTTGATCCTAGAGATAATAGAAAACCACTGGAATTTATTAAGTAGGGCTATGATATTATCAGACCTGAATTTCAAGGAAATTTCTTTTGTAGATGGTTGGAAGATGGGGTTCTGGACACTAGAGGCAAGGAGATGAATTAGAAGACTATTGCAGTAGTCCAGGTGAGAGGTAATGAGGTGCTGAACTAGGGTCATGGCTATATGAGTAGAGAGGAGACACATATGCAAAAGAAGTTATGCACGTAAAGTCAAGATTTTCCAGCTGACTGGATATGTGGAATGACAGGGAATGAGGAGTCCACAATGAAACCGGATTTTGAAGCTGGGTAACTATAAATGCAGTAGTACTTTGGATAGTAATAGGAAAATTCAAAAGAGGGGGGGGTTTGGGGAAAAAGAGAATGAGTATTTGAGTTGTGTTGAATTCGAAGTACCTACAGAGCATGCAATTCAAAACGTCTAATAAACAATAGGTGATGAGGGATTACGTCTCAGGAACAAGACTAGGGCTGGACATAGTAGGATTCATGTTCAAGAGGTGATCACTGAAACCCACAGAAGCTGGTGAGTTGGCTAAGTAAGAAAGTGTAGAAAGAGGAGGAAGACATAGGACAAACTTCTGAGAACACCCACAGTTTGGGGGAGTGGCATGCATCTAGTGACAGAGACTGAGGAGGGGAAGTCATACAGATAGAAAAAGAACCAAAAGAGAGTCATGTCAGGAAAACCCAGGAAGAAGAAAGTATCCAATAGAGACTGATCAACAGTGTCCAGTGCTCCAGAAAAGCCAAGGATGAGGAACAGGGAAAGGTCACTAGGTTTTTAGTTAAGAAATCAGGGATAACTTTTTTAGAGGGTGGATTCAGTTGAGTAATGAAATGGAAAGGCAGATTGCCAGGCAGTTTAGACAGGACTGAAAAGAGAGAAAATGGAGTCAACAAGTGTAAACAGATTTTTCAAGGTGTTTGGCTGAGAATGGAAGGAAGAATATAGGGCAATATTCAGGGATGTCGGATCTAGTGAGGATTCTTTCATGATGATGGAATATGGGTGTTTCTGTAGGCAACAGGGGAGGAACCATAGAGACAAGAGTAGACAGAGAGGGAAGATGACAGGAGTTACAATCTGCTGGAAAAAATGAAAAGGGATGGAATCAAAGGGAGATGTAGAAGGGCTTAGCCATGAGGAAAAGAAAGGTCAACTTTTCACTAGGGAATGATGTCAAGGGGTTATGGGATGAAGAGGAGGAGAAAAGAGGAAGCTAACAGCAAATGGCATCATGTCCTTGGTAATATAAGAGGCAAGACCTTCAGCTGAAAGAGGTTGGGAAGGGTGGGTGCTCCTGGAAGATTGAAGAGAGAAGGACACTCTCTTTTTCTGTGGAAACTAACGTAGATTCATATAATCATTGCATCAGGGTGAAGGGGCCTCAGAAGCCATCTAGACCAACCCCTTGACCTCACAGATGTCATAAGCCTTGCTTTGTGAGTGCCCAGATCTACTAACTTGGACATACCCAGCTCCTGGGAGGAGCTCCTATCCCATCCTGCCATTCTCTACCATGTGGAGGGAGCAGCCGCCTTCAATTGACTGTGTAGCCAGAACAGGTTGCATCTTTAAAAAATAAATCCAAAAACTTTAAAAATAACCACTCAAAATTCAGCCACAGCATACATGCCATGAACTAACTAGGAGGGGGCTAGTACCTGCCTCCCTGCCTTCTCTCCTTTTAGGCCCCAAGGCTTGAGGTGTTTCTATTTCTGTTTTGTTTTTGTCTTCAGTCCCTACAGACCTGGGAGTTCAAGCTCTGACAACCTTGGAGCCAGGATTCTAGGTGAGATCAGCCAGCCTAGCAGAGGAACCCAGAAATGCCACGGTGCCTGGGACTTGACCACAAAGGGTGGGGGATGGAGGGTGGGGAGAGATGGAATTGGAACTTGGAACTGTGCTCTCTAGAAACTGAGCTAATTGTGAACCTAATCCTTTTCTCCTCTTCAGAGACTGAAGTGGTATAGGGCAGATTCAACCACAAATGTTGAGAAATAAGTTTGTATATTTGTGAATTATACCTTTAAAGTAAATATTCTGTTGTAAAAGCTAATCTATCAGTGGTTAAATTGAACTGAGGTGCAGGCTGGGGGAACACCATCAGTGGAGGCTGGAACCATTGGCAGAAAGACTAGACTTCCCCCCCCCCCCCAAAAAAAAAACCTAGAAGAGAAGTGAAATGTAACATACCCGGCCTAAAGGCAGAAGGGGTAAGGGGTCAGTGCTTCACAGATTAGGAAACTGAAAATATTGTGTTCATCATATTTAACATCTGCCATAACAATATCGGTCAAGGTTCTTTTATCTCTGTTATCCAAACATTAATATCATTTCATGGGGGAGCAGTACAACCCAGACATAACAGTCTTAGCAGCATCAGTGGGACCCCACAGCCAGAGGCAGGGGATGGGACCTGGCACAAACCAGACCCCCCCCCACCCTTCTGCCTCTGAGACCACTCTCTTTCCATTCTCAGAAACCAACGCTCATTCACAGATATACAACTGAATAAAACTGGAAGGGATTTTGGAAGCCATCTAGTTCAACCATTTTATTTTTAAAATGGCATAGGGAATTTAAGTGACTTTTGTTGTTGTTCAGTATTGTCCGACTCTTCGTGACCACGTTTGGAATTTTCTTTGCAGAGTTATTGAAGCAACTTGCTATTTCCTTCTCCAGCTCATTTTACAGATGAGGAAACTGAGACGAACAGGATTAAGTGACTTGCCCAGAGTCACACAGCTAGTGTCGGAGACTGGATTTGAACTCATGGAGATGAGTCTTCCTGACTTCAGGCTTGGCACTCTATCCACTGTGCCACCTAGCTACCTAGTTGCCCCATAAGGGACTTAGCAGAGGTCAAATACGAAGTAAGTATGAGGCAGAATTTGAACCCAGGCCTCTATAAAGCCTCTGCCATTTCCACTATACCACATTGTCTCCACAATTCAAAAGTCCCTGGGATTCCCTACCTGCACTGCTTAGAGGTTCATACCCCCAAATGCCCTAACAGCCTCTCCCTGATTCCCAGCCATCCTCAGCTCTGTTTCTCACTCTCAAGAACACTCCTATTCTTCACAGCACTCAATATTCCTCTTTTCCTGAGTTCTGTCACAAGAACATCCTGATGCTTTTAAAAATATTCCTCAGGGAATAATTAAAATTTTTGAGCAGCTGTTTCTTACCATGAACAGCTGTCTGCCTTTCAAGTCCAATGTCCCCAGAGTCAAACACCTCAGTCTTTCTTTTTGTTCTGAATCAATGGAAGTGGGGCAGGGATGGCAAAGGACCCATCCAGTTTCCTTTCCACTGTTGTTATTGGCCAACTGAAATGCCGATCAGGCCAGCCAGGGACAACGTTAACAACCAATTAAAGACAGTGATGTGGACAGAACAAGGGAGATGGAGAATTGGTCTCCTCCTCCTCCAGTAAACTTCATACTTTGATGTGTCCCCATCCCTCTTTTTGGGACTTTAGCAGTACAGAATTCCTGCATATAGCCCTCATTAAGCCACAGGAAAATTACTGTTTAACATGCAAAGAGCCATGCATTTCCATACATTAGCTACATAAATAAGTATGTGCCCAAGACTTAAATGAAATTAAGCAAAAGATTCTGAATCTACTGAACATCATCTACTATGCCTTTCTACAGCTGAAACCTCTTTGTAGCTTTCTTGTAATCTTTTTATAATAATAGCTAGCATTTACGTAGCACATTAAGATTTGCAAAAT